GAAGCGAAGCCGAATATATCTTGATCTCGAAACAGCTGGGGGAAACGAAGACGTTGGTATCGTCGATTGCACGTAACACAAGTCGAAATATCTCTCGAAATTGTCTGTACGCGAATCGCGAACGTTATTTCGCAGAATCGAACGATCTTCTTTCCGTGTGCGATCTCACTAGGTGATTTAATGACAAATCGAAAATCACCGCCGTTACGGCGGTTTTTCGAAACTCCGTTGCGATATTCTTTCGCATTCTTATGGCCGCCCGTGCTTACGGCTTTGCAATAGAATCTTTCTTCGCGCGAAGATTCTTTTATGGCTTCTTTTATGTCGAATCTTCAAAGTGTGCCGCGGATACGGGCCGTGAAGATGGGCGACACGTCGACGGCAACTTTAACTGTCGCAAATTCCACGTGCCGGGACTATCACGGCACTTCACGAAGAGTTCTCTCTCCTTCGTACAACGCGATATACACCGTTAACTCAATAACCTCCTTATTCCCTTCGACCTCATTTCCGCGTTCTCGTCGAACGTTATACCGGCCCCGGCACGTCTCTTAAAGCTGATGTCCCGACGCCGAGAAAAATAAATTGATAACGCGATGACGCGTGCAGAAGAGAGGCTTTCTTTTTGAAAAACTTCGACGAGAGAGAAAACAATCACAAAGAATTGTTATTGTCGCGTAAAAAAAAAACAAAAACAAAAACAAAACAATCGTATTTCCATCTCTCACAAATAATATAGTATTATATTTTCTGACAAAAATGTTGCGCGTGAAAAAAAATCACACGCGAATATAAATCTCGTGAGCGAAAAACCGGAAAACGAAACGGTGGCGTCAACGTTTGCAGCGTTCATTTCGAAACGGAATTCTCTGATGAGAGTAGCGGCTTGTAAAGACGCCATTGGGTCATACATAAATTGCTTAAAGATATTTTGCGCCTCTTCGCGCCGACACCTGTCAATATTGCAGTACCGCGACATTAAAATTCATCAGCTTTGTTGTTCGATTTAGTCGGATCTTCGAAACGTCTCTTCTTCCTAGCGCGTCTACGGTAGTTACGGCGGAGACGATTTACGACGTCTTACTTTGCATTCGATTGGAACGCGCAATATGAAAAATACATAATTCTTCGACGGAAGTGCCAATAATACGTACATCGTGTACGTTCTGACCAGCGCACCGCGATATTTCACGCCGGAATTGTGGATCGGGGGGGAGGAGGAGGTAAGCGAGGGAGAAGCGCAAGCACATAGTGGGATGTAGTGCGCATGTATCGGCGCGCGCCACACGCGAGCCATTTTATTTTGCAATATAATGCTTGACTCCTCGTCGTCCGCGCGGCTTGACATATTGGACGTGATAGGGAGTAATCTGTTATACCGCCCTGCGTCCACGCTAGAAGCCTGCAGGCTGCGCGCCCCTTTCCAATCCTCCCTCCCTCCCTCCCACCCTCTCATCCTCGCGCACCGCGCGCATCTAGCGGTTGTGCACTGCACAGCGACCGATATATTTCCCGACATGTACTTCCGTACGATTCGCACGGAAAATATAGTGAGCCGCACGCGAACGTGAATGCGTGAGCCGGGATCGACTATAAATCAGACCGCAGCGTAAATAAAAATCTTATGGAAACGTCCGGGTGAACGTCTTTCCCGTACCGTTTCCGGGGCCAATTTGAGATGGCGGCGCGGTCCGCATCGGAGAACTACATTATTGACTGGCTACGGGGGTAACAATGGGAGCGATAGCGGATGATGATACTCTCGCGGATAAATGTGTAAACATTATTCATAAGAAAGCTTTTGTCGATATCCCGGGCGCAGATACGCGACCGGTACAGATATTGTAAAATACATTTCACGCGTCACTTGCTAGTTTATTCATATGTGTGTATGTGTGTGTGTGTGTGCGTGTGTGTGAGTTTCTCGCGGATTTTTCGCCGTAACTTCAGGATTCGGTTTGGAAACGATTCTTCAAAGTTAAAATTGTTACGCGAATGTGAACTCGTCATATAAATTGGATTTATCTTCCTCTCTGTTCTAGCTTCGCGCGCGTAAGATTACGTAAGATTCTTCTTCTGAAGAAATATAAAGAAAGAGATATGACATTTATATCTTATCGACATTTATGTCACGTATATAAAACTCGTTCTTTCTCTTTTGTTATTTGGTTTATTTATTGTTTTTTTTTGTTCTTTTTTTTATTTTCTTGTGAAGCTTCAGTTTTTATATTCAAATAGTAAAGAGACACTTGACAACAACGAAACCGAAAAGAAAACAAAAGCTTTTAGCCGATTCTTTATAATTAATCGCGCGAGCATCACGTTCTGAAGCTTGAAAGGCACTTCGGATAATCCCGGATGGCGTCGCGCGCAATATTCCAACAAACGCATCGATGCGTTCTGATGGCGCTCGTGTCTATCGAAAAACCAAAGAGATCTCTCCGCTGTAGTTTCGCTTGGCTGGGACCAGGATCAGGGATGGCACTCGAGACATACCCGAGGGATTTTGGGACGAAAAGTTCCGCTAGAAACTCTCTCTCGCTTATCCAGAAGCTCTCGCCCGCTCCCCGTGCGTCGCGCCGTCTCTCACCGCTTTTCGCGGCGCGCACCAAGTCGAGGGCCGCACATATAGTTTTCCCTTATGCGCGCGCGCACATATACATACACATATACACACACACACACACACACACACATCTCCGTCGCTGCGACCCGATCTCGAAAAGCTATCGCGAAAATATAGACCGTGAAATTTCTAAACGGGATTTAAAGTTTCGCGCGACCAGTTTCTGCCTGCCGTTTTAACCTCGCCGCCGCGCGCGTAATTGCCGAGATAACGAGCTTTAAAAACGGTCAGAATTCCGGCCGCACAAAAGAAGATTAAGCGAGCCGTTTACTTTGCGAATGACGTTTTGATTAAATTTACGGAATTTAAGGAATTTTAAATGCGCAAATTTTTGCGATACCGCAACATATATATATATTTTCATAATACTGTCTCTCCGGCGCTCGATCTGTTCTACTGCAAAATCACGCGCGCTCGAAAAAAAAAATATCTCATAAAAACGTTTGCGTCAATATGAAGAGATTAAATTAATGTGGAAAATAAAAATTTTTACCTCAGTGTGCGATTTAAAATGAATATATCTCTTTTTGTAGAACGTTTTATTTGTCAACAAGATATTTGCGTTAAGAATTCCTAATCCAACGTGTAACACGTGTGATTAATTATCGATACATATCGAGCTGATTAATCAGATTAATCGTAAGCTTCCTTCGGGACCCTGTGGGAACTATTAGTGACGCCGTACTGATCTCTCCGAGCACTGCTGATGTAAATTATTCGCCATCTTAATGGTAGCTTTGCAATTGCTCGCTTTTACTCGCCCGTGATCTCGCAGGCTGCGAGAGAGATAATGTTCGGATGATTCGAGCGTCGCGCAGAAATACTTTAACAGCTTGTTTTCACAGAATAAGATGCGCTAGGTACAGGTTTTCCGAATGCATCGTATTAACGTGCGAGTAGTGTTAATATTGTGATATTACGACAATGACAGAGGGAGAGAAAGAGAGAGAGAGAGAGAGAAAAAAGAGAGACAGTCTTTTCGTGCATCCGGCATGTAAATGAATGTAGAGGTAGATATGCAAATCGCGCCAACGAGTGACACCGGTGTATTTCTACGGCGAGAATATTTTGCAAGTATCACACGCCGGGATGTGATACGTGAGCGTGGATGACATTTCGGGTTCAGTTGGTATTAAAGAAGTGCAAATAAAAATAGATGACGTGCGTAATTCATCACCTCGGCACACGCGCGCTAATAATGTTTGTGTAATTGAGATAAATAATATATTATATATAATTTGTAAATATACGCGTATACATGTTGCGTTAATAAATCTTAATATTTCTCGCGTGAGCGTCGTGTGTATTTCGTTGATTTATATTACACGTTGTTAAGTATAATAAAACTTAAAAGTGTTACATATTTTAAATGCCTTCATAAAGCTTGGAAGAACTTGAATGAATATTGTGTGAAATTGATTTTATCACCGTTGTCGTGTGTTTAATATTCCATATTGACCCTGGCACCTTTCTATGCTAATATATCAGGAACAGTCGATATCTCGACGTGATGTTCTGAACTGAAAAAAAAAAAATTCTCTCGACGCGCGATAGTCGTGGAATAATAGATTTCCAAAGATGTCGTTACATTGAAACCCGGAGTGGCAAAAATGGAACGATCAATAAGAAATAACGGTGATTCCCAATTCGAGACGGAAAAGACGCTCTCTGATCAGAAATTCAAATCGAATCGAAGAGTGCAGAAACATTCCTGTCACACGAAAATTGCAATAAAGAACTTACTGTTTTGAAAAATGACATAAAAAGCCCGAGAGAGTTTCTTGACTTGAAGTAAATGGGTGAAAAGAAATACGCAGAAGCGAAAGAGAGAGAGAGAGAAAGAGTGTGTTAAGCGGCCGAAACGGCATTTCCATAGCGATCCGCCTTACGTTCTTTTTTGCGTAAAAAAGAATGGCGTCAGGTGGATCATCTATACAGGGTGTTCTGTTCTTCGTACGAAATGTTTTTGTCGTATAAAAATTTCTTTCCGGTGATTTAAAACCAACTTTTCTGTTAACGCATTTAATACTAGTTTTTTGTTAACGCGCGCATTCAAATTTTTAAGAAATGTCTGTTTGGATCTCTGTAAAATTCACGATTCGTCGAATTTTCGAGATAGTAAAGGTGATGGTAGTAGATAGTTTTGAAATCAGAAATCCGCGCCACAATTTTCATACGTTTCGACATTATGAAAAGCTCGTATAATGATTAAATTTAAGTAAAACCACCTCGATTCCGCATTAATTCAAAGACATTTTTACGGATAAGGAATCGCAGGGCACCCCTTGAGACACCCCGTAGATATAAACTCGCGCACGTAGGAAGCTCGTGCATAACGGCGCCGAGTAACACGCGAAATGCATTTCTGTTTCAGGAAGCGCATACATCATCAGGTGGAGTGCGCCGCAGTTGATGGTCGTGGCGGTGCAGTACATTCTCACGGGGCCCTACATGCCCCCCTACGTACCCCAGACGGCGAATTAAGACGTCCGTCGCGGGAAAAAGTACTACCGTCGCGCGATCGTTCACCTGAGGCGGGGTCGCCTCCTCACGACGACACGACGACGAGGAAAAGTCTGCTTCCTAGAATATATCGCTGCGTATCTTTCGCACAAGAGAAACGCGCTTTTTGCGGAGCCGCACGTCGAGCACTGATAAACAGGAAATGTATGCTCGCGAGTAACCGGTAACCGGTTTTACTACCGAAACACATAACGATCCATTCCGATTTGGAATGGATTTCTGAAACTTGCTTTATACTCTGCTAGTCGGTCGAACGGTCGTTCGCCGCGAATCAGCTCGAGAGACTCTCTCACGACGACAATGCGCAATTTTATTCTTATCAAATAAAGAGGACGGGAAAGAAGAAGTGAAATTTCTGGCCGCGCTTGATGAAAACCTATTCTCGTTGTGAGCGTAATATAATTCTCTATAAAATCGTATAAAAGTATTCGCGCGCGAAATCGATAAACTATCATACGCTTTGCTTGACGGCCGCCGCGTCTGCATGTTTAAAATTTTAACGAACAGCTCGAACTGCGATTGTGCTCATACACTCTGCGAGCGTTATAAATTGAAATAATTTTATACAAAGACACGAGATATATTTGGGCGAAATTTCAAAAATATCGAGTTTCGGCAGATTGTTCGAACGTGCCTGCAATGTACATTGAAAATTAAGCGGAATATATACTCTGCGCACATTCATTCGACGCGATGACTCTGTAATCAAGGATCGTTGTTCCGTATAATGCAAGGCAAAAAAAAAAAAAAATGCAACTTAGTGGAATCAAAATGAAACACGAGACACAGAGACGTGCGTGAGTTTACGCATCAACCGACGTACCTTGAGACCAACATATTATAGAATGAAGGAGCGTTCTCCGACAAGAGTTCTCTCCAGAGAACGGGGAGGGAATTTGATTAATGCCTTGGCACGTGAAAAATGGTAGGGCGCGGCCGCGACTCCTCGAAATAGCAAAGACGGCAATGACTGAAGTGTCATTGAGAAGTTTTGTCATCAGCTCTCGCGAGTTGAACAAAACCACGCCTTCGAAAAGAGACTAAAAAATTATGAGATTAAATGTATAAATATTACGCGTAGACAGAGAGAGAGAGATAGAGAGAGAGAGAGAAAGAGAGAGAGAGAAAAAGAGAAACAATTTATTCGCTACAAAATGAGAAATTTTTTGTAAAACGGGCTTTTGTACATATACTAATTGACAAGAAGCAGATTGGCTACTTTTACGCCGCTTTTATATAAATTTTATCGCGCGCGCTACCTGTCACTTGCGTGGACCAAAATAAAATTTATTACAATTTGACGCACATATATTATTGTCCGATAAAATTAATATCAATTTTAAATGTCTCACTCACGTCGCGCTTGCCGGCGACATGTTATTGCCTCGTGAAAAAAAAAAGTCGGAATATTGTACATTTATTAAACGTCGTTCTCTCGTTTAATTAAGAATGTATATATTTCGCCGATGATAGGCTATCGACAATTTTTAATTATCACATATGCGAGGAGGAGTTTTATCATTCGCTAATTAAACGTTCCTCGCGCATCTCGATACGGGAGGGGGAGGGTCTCGATACTTCCTCTGTCGTCGTTAAATGGCGCGCTCAGTGTTGCCGCCGATTAAAGTCACGGAGCGAGTGTGCAAGACGCGCGCGCGGCCATTTCGGTTCTGTTTTACAACAGAACCGAAGAAGCCGGGAATTGCAATTCGCGCGATTTATACGCGACTCCTCTTGATTACCTGAAAGTTATGATTCTCATCTGGTTGTGCACCCGTTAACCCGAAATAATCCCGCACACGGTTATATCGCCGCGAGAGAATCGTTTTACACAATTGCACAAGCGCGCGCTTCTGTCGCGCAATTTCTATCGCGCGCGCGAATAATAGACGTATACTCGAATTAATAACGAGCGTGAAATTAAATTACTTATTATGGATAAAGAAACGATAGCATATTTTGAGCAGCATTTCTCTTTAGACGAGCAAGCCTCCGCGTGACGGTTAATTGCCTCTCGCTCTTCTCATTCATTACTCTCTTTACATTTAGTCGCGTCACATCGTGCGTATCAAAACCTCAACTGGTACAATTGTTATTTCAGCTAACGGGCTGTGTCATTAAGAGCTCTTTTCGAATAACGTCGAGTGCAAAATTGAAGTTAATATATTTAACATATTGCAATTTTATCTTTATATTATATTATATATAGTGTACTTTGTCGTTTATTTATAACCGTGTAATTTATAACATAATGTAATTTTCTCTCTCTCTCTCTCTCTCTCTCTCTCTCTTTCTTTGAAGAAACAAACAGAATTTATTAATTAAATTCACACTTAGATAAGTTTTGCAACAATATCGCGGTAAAAATGAGAAAAATGAATTTTTCTTTACAACAAACACAATTTCGAATTCTGATCAAGAAATTTTATTTGTTTCGCGAAAGACAAGAAGAACAAGGCGAAAGCCAGTATGGAAAGTTCCGCGCGATTGCGAAAAAGAAGACTTCCGATAAAGTATCATTTGACCAAGAAAGTCCTGCGAGTAGCAAATCTTGTTGGTTCAAGATTGAAAAGTTCGAACACATATCCGACGAATGAGATCCGCAAGAAGCGAATCGCGATGCCGCGCGGCTTTCGCGTCTCCCAGACATAAAATACAAAGACACGATCACATGTCCGACTCTTCTAATCCGCGGAAAAGATATTTAAGTCTCTTCTCGTTAATCATTGACGTTGTGTTACTATTTTTTCGAGCGAGATTTCAATCTCATGTCGATACGAACCGCCGGTTTTGGATGAACTGTCGATTCATCCGAAACCGGCGGCGATTCGTTTTGCTCTGCTCGTCGATTCTGCTCTGAGAAACGAACGATAACGCATTAAACGTATTTCGATCTTTCTGTTTTGAAAATCTCGCAACACACAAACAACGTTTTCAGTAACATGACACGCCGGGATTTGTTTTGGATGAGAAGAGACGGGAAGTGAGGGAGGAAATCTCGCTCCGGTCTCTCTCTCTCTCTCTCTCTCTCTCTCTCCCCGGTCATCGAAATGGCACACCTTGACCATCGCACGCTTAATCTTGATCCCGCTCCGGAAATGCGCGCAGGAGGCTCTCACGTGCAAAGCGACGAGCACCATCGTCGACACACAACACACATCCCGAAATATACAATCTCGCGCCGATATAATTGTACGGTGCGCGCGCTCGAGGTATCATTCCGTAATCTATGTAGTCCCGGTCGGATGGGGGATTATGTTAAGCGATGCGTGAGCGGCGGCCACAGTCCACGGCAATCCAGGCGTAACAGAGATACTGCTCGGTAACGTCGTTATACTCGCGCACACGCGCCGCTCTTATATGTATATACGCAGTCCGCGATTATGTATCGTACATATAAGCGCTACACGTACATACTCAATGTATATTTGTATATCGTGGACGCGATATGCGCGCACGAAGAGATGCATTACCGCGAGCGCGATGCGAAAGGACGCGTTGCAGGGGCGGATTTGGATGTCAGAATGGAACGTCAGGCCGAATCCACGACTAGGATTCAGCAATTGTCTTAGAAACTAACATGTCAGGTGACCGGCAGCAGTCGCCAATTATTAAAGTCGTTAGGAGAAAAATATTCTTTCCTTCTCATTTGATATAACTCTTAAAAATATTCTATAGCCTCGTAAAAAAACAAGTTTTATAAAACCTTCGAGTGAATAATGAATTCTTTTTGTTGCGTCTCCGAAGCTTATCAAAAGTTTTTAAACACACACTTTGGGATACCGTAGAAGTGACGAAAAGTGCATTTAGAAGATTTTGAATTGGCTTAAAACTTTCGAGATGCAACTATTCGTCCCTGAGCGCGGCATAGGAGAGATAATCGCGAGGACGCAACGCGATATTACGATTAATAAGCAGAAAATGCGACGGGGGTTTGCCGATACGCGGTTGTCAACAATGGCATACCGTGTACATATGCATACCGGATGAGGCGCGTTTTTGGAGCGGTATATTACGGTTCGCGGCACGACAATCTCGGCGCGTACAACGCGCGATGAATCGCGTGCGGCCTCGAGGTTGCATACCGTTAAACACAGGACATCGGCACGGTTTTTTTTTTTTTTTTTTTTTTTTTACTATGAATGTATATCGCGCGATGCGTACGGTGCACTTTGCTTCACTGATTGTGAGTTACGCTGCGTGTATATACGGCGTGTTTGGCCATTTTGCGGATATTTATGCTGGAGTTTTAGTTTTTCTCTTTTTTTTTTTTTCAGCGCGATGTAATAAAGTTGATGACTTAATGTGTCATCACATTTTATTTATCGCGTCAATCCATATTTTGTTTGTTTTTTTGTAAATACGCGATTTTTGCTAATAAATAATGCAATTTTACAATGCGTTTCAGATATCAAATTTGTTTCGATCGTTCTCACGAGAAAAGTTTTGGAGATGTATGTTGTATCTTATAAATCGTTTTTCTGTCTAAATCAAATATTCTAAAAAAATATGGAATATCAAATCGACGGATACAGATGGCGTATCCGCCAAAGTCATCCATTATGAAAAACTACTTTGCAAACTGAGGTCTTGTAGACGAGACCGAGAATTCAAATCTGAATGTTTTATGTCTCTGTAACTCATTCTCCTTTTTCCTGAAACATAAATCAATGTGTCATTACACAGAAGTCTCTTAAGCATGATTAGTTTTGCGTCAAGATTATGTTTACATATCAAAATTTTCGGTTTATTGCATGTTTCTTTGATACGGCTCCGCGCTCCGTTTTATATTTACGTATCAAATCATCGCTTCGTAAATTACGTAAAAACAAAAAAGCAACGTCTTTTTGAATATAAGATCGTCTTATATCTTCACGTTATGGACGACGATCTGCATGAATTCAAAGCGAGATACATTTTACGAGGCTGTTAAGTATTAAATCGAAAAGCGCGCGCGCGCGCGCGTTTTCTGCTTCTACAGAAATTTATGTTCGTATTCATTATTGCAATAGTAAAAGACTTTCTCTCTCTCTCTCTTCGCTTAAGACGAGACTTATCCATTCGAGAAAAAAGTAGCAATAAAATCCCGGATCTACGTGATCATTTTCTAAAACCTGCTGTGTTCACGGATTTTTTTCTCTTTCTCTCTATCCTTCCCCTCCTCTCTCTCTCTCTCTCACTCAGTTGCGTTATTTTAAAACTTGTCAATATTTTTTCAAATCTTACGATACAGCATATTTACATAAAAGCTTAGATATTTTTGCATTTTTAGAAAGGATGTAGCTATTGTAAATAATTTTCTTCCTTCCGTTCGAATTTGAAAATACCAGCATCTATTTTCGTTCTATAGAAAGAAGTTTATGTGTTGTTTCTGTTTTGCATTTTTTTTCATTCGCGCGCTATAATAAAACTTTTAAACTTATTTTTCAACAAAATTTTTTTTCCGCGCGCCGCAGTGAAACTTTAAACGTATTTTTCAATTTTTCTCATCACGAAGTAGTATTTCCATCTTTACACCAACATCTCGTCTCTTTAATATGCAATCACGTTTTTCATCGCGTTAAGTTTTCCTCTTAATTACAAACATTAGAATCTATTTTCTTTGACGTGGGGCTTGGGAGTCCCCGCGTACGATGACATTATTACATCTCGGAGAACAAAGAGCGAGGCGAGGGAAAAGCGCGATTTTGTTGGAACTTTTAACGTGCTCTTCTTATTACACAATCGTGCGATGGAGGTGAAAGGTTAATGCTCACAAATGCGTTTAACAAACCTTAACATTAGCGTGGAATATTTCTAATTCTGGCGTTCCGAAAAGACGGTCCTTCATATAACAAAGTTATTCAAAATCTCACAAAAAGACCTCACAATAACGAACCGAATATTTCTCTGCCGCGTATTAATTGCGCGCATCTCTCATGCTATAATAATCTTTCTCATTAATTTTCATCAGCCATCTCCGATCCGAGCGCCATTAACATCGCCGTCATCATCGTCATCATTGCCGTTAACGCGTCCTCGTAATTTTTTTTTTTTATAACATCGTCATGTCGCGTTGTTGTCGCGATGCTAAAGCCATTTTGAAAGTCC